ACTTCACGGCAGTGAGTTTGGCTTTTTGGTTTTGGGTGACACAAAAAGGAGCTCTGGTGGCATAGTCATTAAGGCATTTGGCCACCAACCAGAAGGTTGGCAGTTCAAACCCACCAGCTGCTCCATGGAAGGAAGATGAGGCAATCTACTTCTGTAAAGATCTACAGCCTTACAAACCCAATGAGGGTTGATATGAGTCAGAATCTACCTGATGGCAGTGGATGATGATGGCTGGGTGACAAAAGGAGTCCTGTTTGTGTCACCTGTTGTTGTTGTTGTTATTATGGGCCGTCGAGTCAGACCCGACTCATAGCGACCTCTCCTTGGGTTTCCGAGGCAATATCACTACGGAAGTAGATTGCCCAAACTTCCTTCCAAGGAGTGGCTGGTAGGTTTGAACTGCCAGCCTTCTGGTTAGCAGTCAAGTGCCTAGTGTCACCCAGTAGTCCCTAAAAAAATAATACCAGTTCATTTGAATCCCAATATGTCTTTTTGGAGTCTATGGTATGAAAAGTAAGCTTACTCTGCAGCAATGCTGCACAATATTGTAAATAAGTCAACATTTGATCTGTTGTCTCAGACTCAACAGTCCCTGCAATGGAATGCTGATATCTACAGACATCCCAAGTGAGCTGAGTGTAGACCACAATGGTGAAGTTTAGCCTCAGCCCACTCTGCAGGGATACTCCGCTGTGTCAACAGGACCAATGGTAAACAAACCACATGTGGCCTGATGACAAAGGGGATGCCACTGAATGTTAACTGCTCTCTCATAGCCCTCACCAAGCCAAACCCAGATTTCCAGTGGCTTCAGGGTGACTCATGGCCACCAGCTAATGATGATGTCACTGGAGCCCTAGGGTCTGGGAAAATGAACAATAATCTTCCTTTCTTCATTATTAGAGAAAAAACTCAGAGTAGGAACTGGTAGCACTTATCCACTCTGGCCACATGTGAGCTCAAGGGAAGAGACTGGAAGGAGAAAAAAAAATAATAATTCCAGAGTAAAAAATGGAAACCGACATTTAGATTCAATGGGGGGAAAAGATGGATTGAATAGATGCCAGAACTTTACATCCAGCTGAGGAATTAGCCTGATGTGAAATAGCTAAAGGACATAGAAGGGAAAATATCCAAATGCTAAATGTACTGAGAAAGAAACAAGGTAGAGACATACAGCATACTCTGGAGATATTGTGGGTTCAGTCCCAGACCTCCACAATAAAGCAAATATCTCAATAAAGTGAATCATGTGAATTTTTTGGTTTCTCAGTGCATATACCAGCCACTCCTCGGAAGGAAGATGGGGCAATCTACTTCCATAGTGATATTGCCTCAGAAACCCAAGGAGGGGTCGCTATGAGTTGGGTCTGACTTGACGGCACATAACAACAACAACAACATAAAAATTATGTTGACACTATACTGTAGTCTATGAAGTGGGTAATAGCATGATGAAACAGTTTGAAAAATTGTGAGAATGACCAAAATGTGACACAGAGACATGAGGTGAGCACATGTTGTTAGAAAAATGGCACCGATGCAGTGTTGCCACAAACCTTCAACTTGTAAAAAATGAAAAAAATGCAGTATCTGTGAAATACAATAAAGTGAAGGACAATAAAGCCAGGTATGCCTGCACTAGATTGAAGAATGAAACAAACAAGGTCACCAATTAAGCTTCGCATGTGGATAAAGTCCAGACCCTGGTATCTACTAGACCCATCCATTCAAGGAATGGGTTTTCAAACCTCCTTCATCAGTGGAAAGAAAACATCCCCTGGAATACTCTAGAAAGCACATGTTTTATGCCTTTTGAATTCTAGAGTAATAAAAACAAAATGTGACTTGGATTTCAGAACTTTTTTTCTGAGGTCTCCATGTAAAATGGAAGAAACCATGTTGTACAGAACTGGACAAGATGTTTGTGAGCACAGGGCTCAAAGACGCCAGCCCTGAGTTCCCCATCTCACAGTTCCAGTGGCCTCACTAGTGTTAGTTTAGAGAGACGTCAATTCAGTCTACAGCAAAGAATCTAACTGAAGCAAAGCACAGCTATATAACTCAGTAAAACCATGCATCCCTGTGTGAAGGCCAGTGAGGAGCCTCCTGCATGTGTTTTATTTCATTCCATTTCTAAAATAACTCTGTGAGACAGGTGTTTTACAGACAGGGAAGAAAGCAACTCCAAGAAAATCAACAACTTTGCCAGAGTCATGTAACTACTAAGTGGCAGAGGTGGGATTCGACTCCAGGTCTTCCTCCATTTATCAGGCCACAGAAGGCCCTGTAGAATCAAATACTGAAACGTTGGTAGAACTGAAATATCAGCAAAATACCAAAAGAATGACAAGAGGGATCAGGCTTTGGTACATCTGCAATTCAAGGGACTCTAGAACAAGGAGTATGTATGAAATACAAGTCAGCAAAAAAATAGTCATAGCTCTGGTGGTGCAGTGCCTAAGGCATCCAACTGCAAACAGAAGATTGGTGGTTCAAACCCACCAGCTACTCTGCAGAAGGAAGAGGAGGCAATCTACTTCCGTAAAGATTTACCACCTTGGAAACCCAATTGGGATCACTATGAGTCGGAATCAGCTTGATGGCAGTGGAGTGAGTGCTACCACATCTTGCATTTAAGCTGTGGTGTTGGCAAAGGATATTGAATATATCATGGACTTCCAGAAGAATGAACCAATCAGTTGTAGAAGCAATAAAACCACAATGTTCCTTAGAAGTGAGGTTGGCAAGACTTTGGCTTGCTTACTTTTGGCATCTCATAAGGAAAGCCCATTCACTAGAAAAGGACATCAAGATTGGTAAAGTGGAGGGTCAGCAAAAATGAGGGAAACCTTCCATGAGATGGATCAACACAATAGCTGCAACAGTGAACTCAAATATACCAATGACCATGAAGATGGGGCAGGAGCTGGTAATGTTTCATTCTATATACATGAGGCCACTGGTGGTGTAGTGCCTAAGGCACTTGACTGCTAACCAGAAGGCTGGCGGTTCAAACCCACCAGCCACTCCTCGGAAGGAAGGTTGGGCAATCTACTTCCATAGTGATACCACCTCAGAAACCCAAGGAAGGGTCGCTATGAGTCGGGTCTGACTCGACAACAATAATAGCAGCAACAACAACCATGAGTCAGTGCCTACTTGACAAAAGCTAACACCACCACCATTGCATCTAGTCCCAGAGGACCTGCGACTCATGGCTAGTTTTGTTGTTTGTACCTGCTGGAAAATGTAAAAGAAAATAAGAATTTGGGGGTTTTAGAATGCAACTTCTCTTAACATTACTTGAACTATCTTATTTAGACTATACCAAAAAAAAAAAAAAAAAACACCTCACTGCTGTCAAGTCAATTTGACTCATAGTGACCCCTCCTTAGGTTTCTGAGGTGGAATCTCTAAGGAAGCAGATTGCCCAATCTTCCTTTCAAGGAGTGGCTGGTGGGTTTGAACTGCCAGCCTTCTGGTTAAAAGTCAAATACCTTTGGGGGTATTTATCATAGGCCCCTTTGTGGGTCAGTATTTGTCATAGCCAATAAATAAACAACACTTCTAGCTTTCAACTTCTCTTACACAATTCACAAAGATGAGGCCATAACAGAAGTTATGGCTGGTTTTGCTACTTATCTATGTTAATAGTTCTCAACCAAAATCTTTCTTTTGGATTTTGGGGCAAATTTTCCAACTGTTTCCATCGAGCTAAGTTCTTGGGATTCTTCAATGATATCAGGTAACTGAAGGTGAAACACCCCTGCACCTGGGAGTCCCAAGGTCCGGCATCTTTTGTGCTTATAAACCTTTCTGAATCTTATCAGTAATGGCCACCACCTCAGAGAGCCTGCAGGCTGCAAATATTTTAGAAGTAAATGTAGGGTCTCTATCTATTTGATTGGACCATTGATAGTTCTACTGAGTGGGAAGAAAGCTAGACAGAGTCAGGCCTCAGCTTCTAAATCACTCTCTGTCACTAACTAACTATGTTACCTTCAACAATGGCCTTCCTCTCTCCAGGCTGCAGGGTTCTCATCTGCAAAACCAAGGGTTCAGAAGAGATCACTGCCAAAGACCTCTCAAGCTCTAGGATGCTTTGGTTTGTTGGTGTTACATGATAACTTATTTGGCAATTCCCTAGAAGCTACCTGTTTCTTGGTCACAGTGCCATCCACAGGGTCCACATATTCGAAGCTATCTGTCTTCGCCACACTGTAGACATGGCTCCCCACAGCGAACTGCTGGCCAATGAAGGACTTGTCCGTGACCAGGGCCTCCAAATCCCTCATGATGTAATACGTTGTCTTAGGCTCCAGCCCTTCATAGTCAAACCTGGTGAGGAAGGCAAGATACAGGATGAACAAAAACTCAAATCAGAGAACCAGCAATTGGGTGGACCTCTCCAGGTCATCTCATCACTGGTTTTGTCTTTATGAAAGGACTTCTCAGACATGCAGCCCCAACAGGTTTCCCCACTTCCACCTGGCCCTGATAATCTAACCCCCACCCAGCAGCTAGAGTGATCTTGGAAAAATCAAATCATGTCATTGCTTTCCTTTAAATATCTCCAGTGGCTGCCCATCATGTTGAGAACAAAACCCAAAACCCCAAACACAGTCTACACAGCACCATAGGATATGGCCCTGTCACCGCTTTGACTTGACTTGACTCCACTTTCCCCTAGCCCACTACTCTCCAGCCACGCTGGCCTCCTTCCCAGTCCTCAAAGACACAGAGCACTGTCCTGCCTGTCTCAGGCCTTTGCCCTAGCTGTTTGTTCTCTCTATGTGGTCTCTCTTCATCCAGCTATCCAGAGAGCTCTTTCTTCAGTTTCTAAACTAAGTGTCACCTCCAGAAAGCAACCTTCTCTCTGATAGCATAGTGCCTAAGGCACTTGACTGCTAACCAGAAGGAAGATGGGGCAAACTACTTCTGTAGTGATACTGCCTTGGAAACTCAAGGACGGGTAGCTATGAGTTGGGTCCCACTCGACGGCACATAACAACAACAACAACTGACCACCTGAGGCAGCCTCCTCTACTCCCTCTACCCATTACCCTTTCTATTTTCTTTTGGAAGTTATCTCAATCTGTATTTCTCTTTTGTGTGTTAATTTGTATACTTATTTATTTTCTGTCTTTGCCCAAAAGAATGTGAGCTTCAGGAGGGCAGAGATCCTGCCTTTCGAGTTCTCTGTGGCTTCTGACACATTTAAAAAAAAAAAAAAAAAAAACAATTCACTACCATCAAGTCGGTTCCGACTCATAGCAACCCCTCCTTGGGTTTCTGAGGCAGTATCTCTGCAGAAGTAGATTGCCCAGTCTTCCTTCTGAGGAATGGC